CAATGATGTACGCGTTTCTTGACCTTACATGGTATCTAATTTGCAATACAGTAAATTGTGTTTCAATATATATTATATAGAGAAGTGAGAACTGCCCAAAAGGCAAAGTTCCACCGGACGGACATTAATTTTTATCATACAGAAATTTATAACAGTTTTATAATATAGATATCTATAAATTAACAACAACAGGCATTATACAGGGTGTATAAAAAAACTGAACAGATTTGAAATTGCTCTGCAACCTATTTTTATCCGTTTTTTTATATATATATATATAGCTTCTTTGGGTACTTATAATGTAGAATGAAAAAAATTCTCAAACTCAAATTTTGTGAACCAGGGGGTGTCTTTTCCAACAAACTAAAAATGGCTCGCGCACAAAATTTAAAAGTTGTAATCATATGTTGAGTTAATAGATGGAAACTTTGTTGGGTTTTTAATTACTGTACAAAATTTCAGACAATTTGGTTTAGTTTAAGCCCCTTTAACTATTCATTTTATTCTAAAAAATCAGCCTTTCGCATGTTTAATTAATGCCTTTACCTAATTTGCATATTGTTAACATATGCAAATTAGGCAAAGGAATTAAGCATGCAAATAGCTGATTTTTAGGAAAACTGTATTTTGCGTGAATAGTTAAAGGGCTTAAACTAAACCAAATTGTCTGAAATTTTGTACAGTAATTAAAAACCCGACAAAGTTTCCATCTATTGACTCAAAATGTGATTACAACTTTTAAATTTTGTGCGCGAGCCATTTTTAATTTGTTGGAAAAGACACCACCCCTGGTTCACAAAATTTGAGTTCAAGAAATTTTTTTAATTATTCTACTTTACAAGTACCCAAAGAAGCTATATATATATAAAACCGGATACAAATAGGTGTTTTGCGAAATTGAGAGCAATTTCAAATCTGTTCAGTTTTTTTTTATACACCCTGTATAATAACGACAGTGAAACACGCAATTTGATTGGTGAATAGCCGTGCAAGATCAGGCTATCCTGCACGAAGAATTGAAATGCCCTCGCGGGATTCTCAAAATGACATTGTTTCACTGTAGTTATTTTATAAAAGAATTACCAAATGGTTTTCCAAGCAGGATAGCGTGATGCATGCACTTGGGATGTTGCTCGACTTTCGGAAAGCGTAAAAATACACTCGACTGCGACTCGAGTATTTTTACGCTTTCCGAAAGTCTTGCGACATCCCTCGGCTATGGATCACGTAATCCTGCACGGAAAACCATTCGGTATTCCTTTATTCATGCATCGACAACAGCGTGTAGAGTCATCACTGTACATAATAACCTACGTTGTATAGAAATGTCTAATTGTGAAGCCTACCCAGTACACGCGAAGTAGTGTCAATTTATTAATGGCACATATGCTTTTTGTGTTTTAAATCATGGGAGTCCAATTTCGTATTTTGGGAAAGACATTTGGACTGGTCATTAATTAGAGGGAAGAGGGGTCCGGGTGTAAAATGAGGCCGGGTCCAATTCCTATGCAAAAGAAAAGAGGGGGGGGGGGGTGTATATTTTTATGCAAGCTTTTTATGATGTCATACAAAAATAGGTGGTGGGGTGATTTTCCCCCCCCCAAAAAGATTGGAGTGGCCCGGTGAAGGTATCAGATTCTTTGCTACCTGAAGTATGACATTTTCTGCATGCATAGCTCATTAATGTCTGATCCCTGGTACCTGTATTCTTCAAAGCTGTCAATAAATTGATCATAGATCTTCTTTGACTACAAATTAGAAATACAAACAGGACAATTAATACTTTAGTGGTTTTTACACTACTACTACAGTGGTTTTCAAAATGAATATAAATCCAATAGCAAAATTCAAAATGAAACAAATTAAAATCACTTGAAATTGATTTTATATAACAATAAACCGAGTTCCCAACCTATACATTTTGAACATATCCAAGGACATATTTTTGTATTGTAGATCTTCTTCCCTCACCTTTAGAAGTGGATTTTTGAAAAAGTCCAAAGCTTTCAGCATGTCATGGATGGAGACTTGACATTCCATCATCAGCCGCAAAGTCATTTCCATTAAATCTAATGTAAATGCCACACTAGGCTCAACTGGAGTTGCAGGCCAAACACCACATTGGAGCAAACTTTCTGGTACTGTATAACAATTGCAATACTCAAAGACGATTTCATGATAAAAACCTACAAGTAAAGACCAATTATTATATGAAATTTGAAAGCAAAGGTACCGATATACTGTAGCATGTCTTTGTGAGGACTTAAAGCAATAAATCTAGCTAAACTCAGTGAACTGCTTTGAACTACAGTACAGACTGGTACCAAAAATTATGTGTAGTCTACAAATTATGTTACACTAAGGTACATACTCGCAGAAATTACACTAAGGTACAGAAAATGCTTGCAGAAAAAATATGTAGGATTTCAGTACGTGTAGTGACCAGGAAAATTCTCTCCCTGCCAAGGGTACAAAATTACTACAAATACTGTATAAAAATCTGACATACCCTGTACCAGTAGTTAGTATTTCTCAAATAGTGCATGTATCATGTACAGCTAGTACTTACAGAATGACTGCATGATCATACAGCATACAGAATGTACGTACATGTCGTATTTTAATTTTTGCTACACAATGAGTCACATCCAGTGGCGAACACTTTACAAAATATTGGAGGGGGGGGGGATCGTGCCAAAGGCACTGGGAAATTTTAAAATTTGAATCCCGGAAATGGCATTTGCGGTATTCTGAGAACACATTTTGTAAAAAACTAGGTTTTCAAAACACTGTTTTAATGGTGCATTTTGTTATAAATCACATGCTAAGCATAGAAAACCAACATTTCAGAGAAAATATTTACCCCCTAGTATCCATCAAAAAGAGTGTATAAAATGCGTATGTTGTGACATGTACAGTATAGAAACATATATTATGATAACAATTACGTTATATGAGTGTGATTTGTGTTATTTGGTACAAGACTTTTACAGTCTTTCAAAATTATTGGGGGGGGGAGGGGGGGGCTCACTGGTCACATCACTTAGGCTTTGAATAGCCTACAATGTGTGACTGACAAAAAATTTTGTTCCATTAATTTTGTATAATCATGAAGGAATACTGTACCACTTAAATCAACAACTGTAATTGGTCGCAGATACGTTCCACCGCAATTGTGCCTCACATTACACAGAACTCTTTCAGGAACATTGTAGTCTTCCCAGCATCCTTCCTTAAAATTTAAACAAAACATAGATTGAATATCTTGCATTATGTGAAACTAAAATTTAATTGCATGCAGAAATAATACATGAAATTAATATAGCACTTCAAGTATGCAAACCAACCGATAAACCCATTGAATCATCCCTGTAAACTGTCATCCATGCCTCCAATACACAGAGGAAATTGGAAGTTAAACATCCTACACTCTTCAGATGTACCAATACACTTCCCTTACAAGGTAGGTAGTTAGGTAGGCCTGGGCAATAGGCCAATCTATGGCATGGGTTCCTATAGGGAACCTTTAGGTTTTTATGGGCAATTGGAACAATTTTTAATATGGTGATCTATAAGGATGCCTAAAGTCTATTGAGCCCTATAGATGCCAATAAGCTTCTATAGAGAATTGGAACTGGTAGCTAGGCCACCTACAGTACAGGAAACAAATATTTCTTCCCTTCTCACCCAGACAACAGAAATTTTCCTTGTGGGGGGGGGATGTGAATGTGTTCTAGAGGTCAGAACCATTAAAATAATGCACAAGTTTCTCCCACTTACAAGCAAAACTACATTTATGTTGGAGAGGTTAAAACAAGAAAAGAGGGTGCATTGTGGTACATTGCTACTTATAGACCAATTTTAATGCAGTAATTGAGAAGCATACTGTATTATTATGAGTAAAGGCCCATGCAAAATTTCTTCTTCTGCCATGCATGTGAATGAGTAGATGAATTGTGAATGTATCGAGTATATTTATAACATCATCAGTCCTCATCTGAACATTCATATAACTCATCCACTTGTTTACATTCATCAGAAAAATTGCATGTAGAATCACAGCAAAAATTACAAGAGGTGTAAACAGGCCTTTAGAAAGTAAAATAATTGCAGGGATAGATTTAGTTAGGGTGTGCGCCCCCTAGGCATGGCATACCCCTAGAAGGGCTGCAGGGGGGGGGGGTGCTATTTGTATAGGTAGTAGCATGGTTTGGCGTGCAATTTGGAAAAAACATGCACAAGTGAGTTTTTTAAAAACTATCAAAATTGCACGAGTCCGAAGGACGAGACGTGCAATTTGATGGCTTTAAAAAACTCACAAGTGTATGTTTTTCCAAATTGCATGACAAACCATGCTATTACTTATTAGTAATATAGATGAAAACATTTCCCCTCGATGACTCCTGCATTAGTTACCTTCACTACTTAAGCATTGTCTTTGTCGCTTGTGAACAAACTTTTTCAGTCTATGTGCTTGTTGCATTCTCAATTATATATTTCCCAACAATTTTCAAAACAAAATGTGCAAAAAGTGGGCAAAAATGAAAATTTAAAATATCAATATTTTCCCGCCATGTTGATTTTTTCCGACCAGTGCAATTACAAATACTGTAATTGCACTCCTCTTAGCCAATAAACATCAAGAAATTTTTTCATCTATATTATTATTCATGATAAAGCAAAAAAATGTTAGAGATAAAATGAGATATAATAATTTGATAAGCAAACTGTGTAGTCAAGTACAACTATGCAGCAGTTAAGCAAGTTGATGGGTGGGCAGCACACATAACTGACACAACTCGGCACCAGATCAAGCTGTATCCATCTCTGATATAATTGTAGCAGATATTGTGACATTCACACTTTGGTCATACTGTAGCTGGTAAAGTAGCAATGCCCTTTTACTACAGAATGAATGCTTTAACTAATTAACTTTAAGTGTCAGTCTCTCCCCTTGATGAGTAAAATTATCTGGTGTTAGACAGAGAAATATTAAATAGGGCATATCAGGGCACATTGCGACTCAATGGGTTAACTAGACACATGGATAGATGGATAGATAGGCCAGTTAACCTATTAAGTGCCAGCTGTCTCCTATTGATGAGTAAAATTGTCTGGCGTGAGCCAGAGTGAAGTAATAAAGTAGGGCGCATTAGGGCACAATGCGACTCATTGGGTTAAATACCAATGCAAAGTGCATGTTTTATTATTTTCTTGTTTCTAACATCAGACAATTCTCACTAACCAAGGGGGGATTTTTGCATTTGTGTACCATAACATACCAAACTACCATCAATTTAGAGTTAGTACCAAATTCAATGTACAGTAATATAGCTGCAGATCTGAATTGTAAACACATTTATTAACTGCTTGTCATGCTCGAAGATGCTATTTTCCTAATTCATAGGGAGACCAAATTACCCATCAATGGGTTAACAACAAATTACATGGGCATACATATGTTTGGTACTATCCTATGACAGTTTAATATTATACGTTACTGTATGTGTATCAAATAATGTGTTTAATTGTCCTTATAGTGTGTTTAATAGGCCTTAATTTATATTCATATTGCACTTACTTTAAGTATTTGGCAGCCATGAAACTGCAGTTTGTCCCTATGAATTTTATCGCAGCATTTTCTGCAATAATATGTTGCAAATCTACAATCTCGGCAACGTGTTGCTGCTGATTCTTGGCATGTTGCCTCACTGCACGTTGATGGCAGAAGACCCTCGAGTGCCAATGATGTTTTTAATAATTTTAACCTGATTTTCTCCCAGTTTGAAGACAGTCTTTCCCGGCGTTTCTTGTACGTTCGCTGTACTCCTTTATCCTCCAAGTCATTATCGTATTCGGAGCCAGAGGAATCCTCAAAAATTAAAGTTTGATCGCCGATGTTCGCTTCGCTAATTCCTTCTGTATTTATATCATAAAGCTCTGTTATTCCGCTTTTTGTGCCTTCTGACTGGACATTTTGCAAGGAAATTGGGGATGAAAGGTTAACATATGTCTTTTTTTAGTCCTTGCATCGATAATCTCTATGCTAGCATTAGCTTTCCTTTTGCCACCTTTAAAAAACATATTCCTTTTTGATACGACTGACACAAGTGTATTTGCCCGCCATATTTTTTTACTGTTTATTTGACACCCCAGCCACCCCTCCACAAACATTTTAGTTTGTTATAAACAATTCCCAGTAACTTACTGGAAACAATGTGCATATAATATCTATTAGTTTATTAGGTACAACGTGTGGATTGGGTGGTAAATTATATCAGTGACCCCCAAATTTTATTTTAAAAAATGATTTCTCTTAGTATAATCAATTATTTTGACAATTAAAAAAAAATTCTGTGGAGCCAAATTTTTAAAAATTTCGTAAAGGTAATTTAGCCTCCTCCGCAGGCCTCTCTATGGGTTCTAGCCTGCGAATGGGTTTTGAAAAAAAACTTTTCTGGGAGAGAGGCCTGCCATAAATCGAACAAAATAGACGTATCTCAAATATTAGTGGCCGTGTTACGTTACCCCACCCCCTAAGTAGGCTTTTGACCCTAATTATATATTCAGTTTGAAATCTTCAGGCGAGGAGCGAAGCTTGCGAGTATTAACTTTAAAAATGTTTTAAAATGCATCGAAATATTCAAGTTATACGAAAATTAGTTGGTCAGTTGAAAGGATTATACAGGGTGTATCAAAATAAACGCAATTCATCTTTTGTGCTTAATAACTTTCGAAATACTATTTCTAGTTAAACGCTTTTAGGCTTACTTCAAAGCCTGTTTTTTTCTCTTTCAAACAAACTATTATCCTTGTCTCCAATGCTAGTAATAATTGCACAGGAAAATATTTAGTAAAACCTATCATTTTCAGTTGCTGTTTAATTATGCAAGTTTACTATGTTATTGTTTAGTCGGTTTAAATGTTAGAATTTTCTTCTTTAAACTTTAATGTTGTCGTCACTACATCTGGAAAACCACGTAAGAACAAATTAAAAGTATTTTAAAAGAGACCAGGTTGTTTGAAAATCCTGAACGAATGCTAAAAATCGTCAAAACATTCTGGTGTCTGAGCCAGAGTGTCATCGAATTGCGATGTAATGTAAACAGAAATTATAGCAAGTTGATGTCAGTCAGCTTACTAGATGGTTCAAGCCAAAATTATATCGCATTTGAAGTTTAAAACTGAGTTAAAAATAGTGGAAGAAAAGCCGTAATTATACTTGTTACAATCCATTTAATAAAATGCAACATTTTTTGTTTCAATGAAAAAATCAGTTATTTTCATGAGAACGATTTGTTATTCCATCTCAATTTTTTTAATCTCCAATCGCAATAACGTAAAGTATTATTAGCCGCGAACCAATGAGTCAAATTTAAGAAACAACCCACTGTTAGAAAGCTGAATGGCTACGCTTTAAAATGAATGTAAACTTTAACGTTTTTGTCTATTATTTGTTTAGCAATTTACATTTCAGTTGAGGATTGCGCTTTTTTTGATACACCCTGTATATCGCAATGTCTCTCGCGGTCTAAAAACGACGTGCAAATTTAATTGAATCGCTCGCTCGAAGCAGCCAAATGTTTTATACAATGTATCAATTGTTCAGCCGAGGAACTACAATTTGAGGAAATTATCTGGCATAATTTCGAACGCAAAACGAAGAATGGAACGATACGAAAGGTATAATTTGTTTAATAAAGGAATTATATTAAATTGTATTGTTTTCTGGAATATTATTTTGGCATGTTTATTTATATAAAGGGGTTGACATTTTGATTATATTTTACTAATTTTAGTCAAATCATCAGACATTTGGCAACATGTTAAGTGAATTGATATATAAAAGGAAAAGATCTTTCTGTTGAAGCAACCATTTCAATAAGTGAGGAGAGATAACAACTTGGAAATATCAACTACAGAAATTTGATTACTACAAAAATCAAGATTTTGTTGGCATCTTCAGCCTGGTTTACATATGCCTGCATTATCATTGTTTACAGCTGTTGATGTATACATTCTTTTGTGAATTATTTAGTTGAACTTTTAACGACAATAGCCCATCAACAAACAGCAGGTATATGTGAACCAGGCTTCACTTGGTCGAATAGTTAACTGGAACTCACCCCCTTAATTAATATCATGTGAATATGCTAAACCATTAAAGTGTCCCTGTCACAAAATGAGAGTTTATATTTTCGAAATCTATGATACAAAATATACGGAAATTCGAAAACAGAATCGAAATTGCTTTTTTAGTGTAAAAGTTATTGCCGTTTAAACATTGAATTTGGCCTTGTGAAAAATCTGAAAACCGCGCAAAAGAGACTGGGACGAAACAATGCGTGTGACGTAATAGTAGGGACTTATCTAGCTCACCAATATAGAAATACTATTGCATGTACTATCATAGAGGGGGCAATAGCGCAAATAAAAGTCACGAAACTGAAAAATTGCCGAATATATGTGTAGTAGGCGGTTGTTCGAATGTCACAAATACAGAGAAAGGCATTTCACTTCATTTTATACCTTATACTGGAGGCGAGATGCACGAAGCGAAAAGGAGACGGGTTGACTTCGTGCACCTTAAACGAGCAATGAGATCCAATGTTCAGCATACTTTGCGAAGATAGAGTTTGCGGGTAAGACCACGGTTAGCTACCGACGAAATTGGTTTCGCTGCAATTCCAAAATATACAAATACTGTCGACGACAAACCTTTGTCTGCGAGAGCCAAGAGAATGGTATATGTATAATTGATACTCTAATTTCGTTTATCATGCACTTGAATATGGCCTGGTGCAATTTTTTTTCCAAATTCGTTATTTAAATAGGTTGTATTAAGAAGCTGCTTCGATGCAGTCAACCGATATGGTCATAGTCACGAAACTGGAAAGCGCGATAAATATAAATGAGCCACAGCCAATGGATTCACCAGAAATATAAAATATCGCGACAATATATAGCTATGCGGACTATGAGCAAATATGGTCAAAATATAGCGGACGAAAGCCAATTTCTTACGTCTACATTACAAGCAATGTGTACTGTTTGTATTTTAGTTTAGACAAGTAAAGTAGAATTGTATAAGTAAACTTGACGCAGTAAATTATACATATATACACTCGTTGTGTTTGCACCGCAGTGAACACCCGTACAATATGCAGATTTTGTAACAAATTGTGGCATGAAACCAGATACACTGTGGGGTCTGTATAAAATGTACTACAAAGTATATTCCGTTGAAGCAACTTAATGAAATAACTTAGTCATTGCCACATTTGCTAGTATAAGGCAGTACCTGGAACGAAATACAAGTCAGAAAAATTCCTAAACGCGCTGCAACACTTTACACAAATTAACCCGCACGCACGAAGTGCAGGAAAACATCAGATACAAATCTTAATCTCAAATTTCAGTCTCTTTGGCAAACAATATTGAAGTCATGAATATAGCAAATGTGCTGTTTCTACACGCAATACATATAATATTACTACGCTTATACAGTGTAATAGGTTTATTTATTGAAAAATAATTATATGATATCAAGAGCTGTCCTCTACAAATCTTACAAAGTCTTCATTAATAGCAGGCATTATTTTCTCATATGCGCAAAAATATCTATTTCCGAGTTGTCCATAAACCATCCACACAAAGTTTCTATATGCTGTGCTCCTTCAGAATCTATAAATTAATAAATAAGTCTTTTTAATAAGTCGCTTACTTACATGTGAACACATGTAAATATATAATTCAATAATTGTACAGTATGCACCATATATAAACTCTCAGTTACCGTACCGCATGCGTGTGTTCACTGATAGTAAACTTGGGTACGGTAAAGTGTTTCTTAATTTCAATATGTTGATAAATAAAACTTTATTTACCTATCTTCTGTGCTTGTTTGACGATATTCCTGTTTCTTTCTTGTTCGTAATTTCGTGGCTGCTGAACGGAGGGCTCACTTATCTAGTCATAACCTGTTGAATTATACATGATGGCGCGACTTCAGCTTCTTGCATCACAAATCACAATGTCACTGTGTAGAGAATCGACGCACTCCTCAATTTTCATACAACATTGACACTCTTTAGCATAATTTACGAAGCAGTTCAATGCGATACTTGCCAGGTTTACACTTGAAATATTATAGTTTGTAATTTGAATACAACACAAGGTCAAGTCACGCAACAAAATCAGAGTGAAATATTTACCATTTACTCAGTTCTTCTGAACTATCAAGCCTTTGTTGTAGTTGCTTAAGACGTTCGTCGTGATTGCTTTTTTTCGCGGTAACTTTTGAGCCAATCTTCGTCGGGCACTGGTTCATTAACACATGAACCAAAGTCGTGCGCACGAATGATCGGCGCTGCTTGACTACGCTTCACTGGTGTTTTCATCGATTTCACTCGATTTAATACGGCCCACGAATATAATTTCAGTCAGACATCGCTTTGGTAACTGTTATTTTCCGTATCTGAACTCGACGAAGACATTTGTATCGAATTTTGACCAACTTGATTGTGATTCTCACTTAGTATTTATGTACTTTTCACTTAGGCGAGAAGGCAATGTGTTCCTACTATGACGTATTAGTTACCAATTTCCCAGCTTCGCGGTTTTCAAAAACGTTTGCCGTTAAAATTTGAAATTTTCAAATTTCATTGCCTTATTACTCTGTGAAAACAAGCTCAATTTTAAATCTGTTTTGTATTTTCATAATCTACGGTTCAAGACGATTCTAATAATGTAAACTCTCATTTTGTGACAGGGGCACTTTAAAATGTTTTCCGAAAAGGATAATAAAAAATATCACAGACACAGTGTCTCGTCTTACATTTGTGTCTGAAATTAGTAAAAACTTACGTAACAAGACTTGAGCGAGTAAGCGAAGTGGTCATGTCACGCGCTTGGTCTGATATTTCGCAAAGGTCATATGATTTCGCTTGACACCGGAAGATGATATGGTCATAGCATAGTTAGTCACACCACGGTGGTCACACACTGTGCTAATCTCGTGATTGCTATTGTTGAGCAACATTCGCTGAACTACTGCTATCGAAGCAAATCATGGCAGTTATCATGAGAAATTTCGTGGTTTTATGTGCTTTCATACTTGGTTGTAAAGCTGCCGAAGTACCGCAACAGTGCAATCCTTCGGGCCCTTCCTCGCCGCACGGAAATGCCGTGAACTCGGGCAGACAGAATGTGCATTTAGGCCCTGATGGTTATGTAAGTGGTTCTATCTGGCCCAAACCACAACAACATACTGTTGGCGAAGAAACATTCTCGTTAAGTCCAGACACATTTAAATTCACATCAACAGGCGAGGCAAGTGATGTTTTAACGGCTGCAATGGCAAGGTATCGTGGTCTTACATTTCCTGACATGATTCACTCGAATGTGCTCAGATTTCGCCGTGATCTATCTGCGCTAACGTCCTTGGAAATTACAGTGAAGGAAAAGTATGCACCTATGACATTTGAAAGTGATGAATCATACGCACTAGCAGTGAGTGCTCCAGCATCAAGTTTAACTGCGAACACAGTTTGGGGAGCTTTGCGAGGACTTGAAACATTTAGTCAACTTGTATACCAAGATGAACATGACAATTACCTGGCTCGAGAAGGCAAAATTACTGACTTCCCTCGTTTTCATTACCGCGGTTTTCTTATCGATACATCCAGACATTTTATAGATGTCAGTGTGATATTACGTCATATTGATGCATTGGCATATGCTAAGTATAATATTTTGCACTGGCATATTGTTGATGATCAATCATTTCCATTTGTCAGTAAAACATTTCCCTCACTTAGTAATGTCGGTGCTTATAACAACGTCACGCATATTTATGACATAGATGATGTGGCTACAGTTATTGAGTATGGTCGAATGCGTGGTATTCGTGTAGTACCTGAGTTTGACACACCGGGACACACGCAGTCATGGGTCAGCATCAAAGATCTTCTTACACCATGTTATTCTGGTGGAAAACCAACTGGAACTTATGGTCCTATCAACCCCACATTAAATTCCACTTACACCTTCCTTAAATCATTCTTCGGAGAAATAGGCACGCGTTTCCTCGATGACTACATTCACTTGGGCGGAGATGAAGTGTCGTTCAGTTGCTGGGAGAGCAATCCTAATGTACTGGCTTGGATGGACAAAATGGGATTTGGCAAGAATTTCTCACTTCTTGAACAATATTATGAACAAAAGTTAATTGATATTGTAGGTGGTTTGAAGAAGAAATATATCATTTGGCAAGAAGTGATTGATAATCAAGTGACTGTCAATCCTGATACTGTGGTTAATGTTTGGAAAGGTGGTTGGCAAAATGAAATGGCTAAAGTTACAGCAAAGAACTTGAACGTTGTACTTTCTTCACCATGGTACTTGAATTACATTTCATATGGTAATGATTGGCCAAAATATTATAGTGTTGAACCGACTGCATTTAATGGAACAAGTGCACAGAAGAAGCTTGTACTTGGTGGAACAACGTGTATGTGGGGTGAGTGGGTGGATGGGACAAACCTTCTCCCAAGAAGCTGGCCAAGATCCTTAGCTATCTCTGAAAGATTGTGGAGTTCCATCAACACGACTGACGTAGCAGATGCGCAAGGTCGTCTCAGAGAGCATCGATGTCGTTACTTGATGCGTGGTATTCCAGCACAAAATGGTGTTCAGTCAAAGTATTGTCGATATGAGTGGACATTGTGAACTGATCTTTGACTTATAACCCTTACTTTTAATTGAGAAGAATAACATTGATTGTAACAAATATGATAAATAAATTCTTTGGGATTCTTTGGTGGAGTTATAGAATAGAATATGTTAATGAAAGAAAAAATAAATATTTAGTATATTTTGACATTCTAAAGTGATATTTCTGAATTTCGTATTCTGTTTTGAAAAGGCTGAAATTTAACGTAAATGAAGGGTTCGAATATATTGTAAAAATATCTCAAATCATTCCATTTACTTTTTAATTTATGTAATATTTCAAATCCGACTATGAGGGCTGGACTAGATTTCACGTCTTTGCAATTTCATCAACTGTCCTACGCGAAGCCGAGGACTGGATCATAATGTGAGGACTTGAAATCTAGTCAGTCCGAATTGGAGGATTTGAAATGACATCTGCAGACGAATAATAAATTACTACTTAAAGTGAGGTGAATTAATTTTGATCCAGTACAAAGACGGAATTAATTTTGATCCAGTCCTAGGACTGGATCAACATACTTCACCATGCAGGTATCCAGTATTATTATCATGTGAGCAAAATAAAGCAATATGGTTGGCTAATTTACTCATAAATTATTAATGAGTTCTTTATACAGGGTGTCTAAAAAAAACGCTATGGAAATTCAACAGGCTGTCGTGCATCATAAACGTGGCTAAACAATGCAATTTTTACATAGGACGAAAGAACAGTTATTTGGCTTTTCAATGATACTCTTTTTTAAATCGTAACGATGAAAAATGGCCGCATACTCGTCAAATAAAAATTGCCGGTCGAAATCACATTCTTCCACCGTTGGAAATTGCATGGAAAACGAAACATAAACAACTCCGAAGAGGGAATTAAAATTGAATGTTAAATTATGTAAAATAAGCTGAACTCGTCAATCTTTGTCTTAGTGAGACCATAAGAACGTCCATTATTGCATAAAACATGGTTCAATTAACCCCTGAACAGAGAACATTCGTAATCAAAACGTTTTGCTAAACAAGTACCTTGCAGCAGACTCGCGGTGCTTTTGGATTGATTAACTTTGCATAATTAATGTATTTTCAATTCCCAACGTTGGAAGAATGTGATTTCGACCGGCAATTTTTATTAGACGAGTATGTGGCCATTTCTCATCGTTACGGTTTAAGAAAGGTATCACCGCAGAAAAGCTAAATAACAGCTCTTTCGTCCTATGTAAAAATCGAATTGTTTAGTTAAGTTTATGATGCACAACAGCCTGTTGAATTCCCATAGCGTTTTTTTTTTTTAGACACCCTGTAGATAATCTCAGTACACCAGTTGATATACCGGAGTATACTGGTACTACTAGTTTACGAGCAATACGAAAGAGTCGAAACAGAGTTGCGACATTTTAATTGCGAGGCAATTCGTGTCTTGCTGCAAAGTGCAGCAGCAGTTTCTGTAAAGAGTACTGTATAGACTGAATAAGCTTTATCCTTTCACCACATCATGACAATTAAGGGAAAATGTTAGTCACTGCTCAGCAGACCCTATACAAAATGCCGGTTGCACTGATGAGGTACGGTCACTAGTACATACCTTGCCCTTGGTGAAGTTTTTTGCGTTGACAATAAGTTGTATTTGGTTGTGCGAGAGGTTATAGCAGCATGCTGTATTTAGAGCTGTGCGCCGGAGCTCCAGCATATTCAGTTGCCGGAGTTGAAAACTCCGTCAGATAAAATATTTTTTATATTTCAGTATAAAATTTACTATAAAGTTTAATTGCTTGCTTCGATCAGTTTCGTAATTCTAACTAACTTTTCTTGTTGGACATGACTGATGCCTGAGCGAGTGACTGGTCTTAGTCACTGACTATCCTTGACGAAGGGTCTTTGGCATTTTGCGCGAAACGTGGAGTCGACAGAGTCGTTGATTGTTTTCACTCATAAACTAGCCGATAGATATATTATTTTTTTATGGTTATAGATTATTTAATAATATATGGTTTCAACGAAAAGGAGTAAAATAAATTCTGAAATTACACTTTTGAATATGAAATTTCCTTAAAATTTTCTTGCCGGAGCAAGAGCTAAAATAACCGGAGTTTGCACAGCTCTAGCTGTATTATGTTATGTGTTGACTTTCTTGTTGCCGTATTTCAAATTGATATAGCTCTTTCGTCGCGGTTGCTCTATTTACTTCATAAGCCAACCCTATATACTGTAAGCCTTAAACTCTGAGGGCACAAGGGATGATGGGTTTTCACCTATTAAGCCCTTAAACTAGGAAAATTTCTTTGCACCAAGAATGTTTTCTGTCGTGAGTCTTCTATATGTCTTAGGTATTCTTGCAAAGCCAAATTTTAAAGTTTATTAGTCTAAATAAGCAATAACCCATCATCCCTTGCGCGCTCAGAGTTTAAAGTTTAAGTTTTTGGAAGGACAACCTTGATTGAAATAGCTGTATATATATAACCATGCATGAGTCGGCTCCAGCGCATCTTTTTACAGAGTCGTCTCTTTTTACAGGCCGAGGAAGACAATTTCAATGCAATGATTGCTGCTATTCAAGAACAATTACGAAAAGCAAATTACGAACATTTTACGAATGTATACGATGCTTGTAGACATCAAGACATTGAACAGTAAGTTGTTATAAAATAACGTAAAATTATTGTACATTGTAAAACATTGAATTGTTGCACAAAATGTACAATACCCAATAAACTTGGAGTGGCCAAATTTGGAATGTTTATATTGCAGCAAACCGGTCTGATTTGTTTTGACTTGTAGACGGGGCTGTTCTTATGGAGCCGGGCTGGCCCGGTTAACGTGGATAGTGTGTTTAAAATAAAGTTCTTATCACGGCTTTGATAAACATTCAAAATGACATATCAAAGTTGAATTAGCTTAGTTTGATTCCAGTAGCAGTATAAAGTTTATTGAAACGATTTTCGTGACACAATTCATCCCGTCTAAGCGGGCTGCCTCGGCTCATATACAACCCCTAAGAAGTTTACTTTCATACCTGAATGTACGTGCACGAAGAAAGTGAACCCCCCCCCCAAAAAAAAAAAAATTGTTTCAAAAACAACGAAAAAATAGTTTCAAAAAGTTGTGTTGTTTTTCAGGAAAGGATATATTGACATGCTGGAACTTCACAATGTCGTTCGTTCCTTCAACATTCCAGCGAAACAAGAATTATTGGATGGTGTCCTTATGCGTATGCAGAGAAATAGTAATGGTCAAGTTGATTACAAGCAGTATATTGATGCTATTAACTGGCGTGACCATCCAGGTGGGTTCCAGTCTTTACCACATGTGAAGACTTGGGTGTTTATATTATGTTTTACTTCGATTAAAGGCGGACAATTTTACATCTCAATAGGCTTTTGGAAAGTACGCCACTTTGGCTATAGAGCCTCGTTTTCACATTAGTTAGAGCCATGCAAGCGTCGCAATCATGAGAGCATAGAAATAATAGAATAGATGGTTTGGAAACTCATTAGAATAACAATATAACTCTTTATCTATGTTGGTCAACGTTTATTCATCAATATGGTCCTTCACCGTCATGTGTGTATTGTATTTTTGGCCAAATCAGTCCATCAATTAGCAATTTCCAATTTACGTTATTGTTCGAGTCACGGGATAGGTAACTTTCCTAAACATTGCTATTGGTTAGTTGGGCAAAAACACAATACGCACGTGACGGTTAACGACCAGATTTATGAATAAACGTTGACTAACATAGATAATGAGTTATATTGTTATTCTAATGAGTTTCCAAACCAATCTATTCTATTAACTATGATGAGGGCAAGGCTCTATAGCCAAGGTGACGTACGTTCTGGAAGCGTTTATTGACTGTATTGGGTTGAAACAAAAAGGAAGAACACTGCAGTGTACATATTACTCTATTAAACAGTGTACATATTACTCTATTAAACTTTGAGAGGATATAGAGCAATCATTCAATATAAGAAAAATACATTAGAACTGGAAGAATTTCTACTAAACTTTACCCACTTGTGGCAATAGGGTAGGTACGGCAGAAGAGCGACGTATGAATCAATTAAGTACGGCAGAATTTGGAGCGGCAAAAGTTCGACACAAGTTTGGCAGAGCTTGTCGCATTATGCGACGTTGGAGCGACATTGATTCATACGCCGCTCCACTCATGTGCCAAACTTAACTCAACTTTAGTCTAAAAATAAACTTATTTATTTTGAATTTTATTGAGGTTTCGCTGGCGAATGCGCCCCAACCTTGTCAATAACATAGTACTTGGTACGCCGTTTGAATCACTGCCGTTCTTGTGTCGCATCTAATACAATTGAGTTCGGCACATGAAGAGTACGCCGTTTGAAACGGGCCTAATACTCGTTCCTCCTCAGTATAGGTACTTTTATTAATAATCTTTATCCATTTTTAGTTAGCATCCAGAGGTACGTCCCCGTTTCTATTGCAGAAACCAAAGCCAAGGTAGGTCATTTCTCATTAATATAAGTATAACATTATTGTATATTCATGTTGATACATCGTGTGTGAAAATTCGCTACAAGTGAAAATGCAAGTGAAAATTCGCTACTTTTGCGCCGGTTTTGTATAGTATCATGCACTAACATGGAAAGTCCAAAAATAATTAGAGCCTTAGAACTATATTTTTACTTACGTTATGTCCAAGCCTAGAAAATATATTTCTCTTCCTGGCAGCAAAATCCAAAAATAAAAATGTCCTGTGCAAGTCAAATATAAAACTTCCTGCTGTATCTGTAGATTTCAGAGAACGTATTGTGCCACACATTGTGTAAACAATTGTGGTGGACAATCTCGAATTGCAAAATGCTGTTGTAAACAATAAGTAAATTATATGGCATTCCAGTATATAAGATGACAAAAATTTCCCGTAAGATGTATAAGAAAATCCCCCAACTCAATGTTGAACCTGTGTCATGGTAAATTACCAAATGTTGTTATTTTCGATGTTATTCACAACAAAGAACTAGAAGAAAGGGGGTGACGAAGTTTGTTTTGTCAATGTGCATTAACTTTGCCGTATTGGCTCGAATGGTCTCAAGAGTTGTATCCAAGATTGTAGGTTTTTGTTTCACTCACTGATATTCAGCCAATCAGCGTAAGCCAAGACTAGGCCAGATGATGATTTTAATCTGATATCTGGCGTATGAGGTAATCGAAGAAACACCACGACTTGAATTTCACTTGATATTGTGTATATTTATTGTGGTTATTTCTATTTTCAGGAACGTATTGGACCTTTGGAAGGTGTCATGGCAGTCAACTATAAAGCTTTGCTCAAAGATCTTCTTCTTAGTGACTAATGACTTTATGTATATAAAATATTGGTGTAGAAATGTAATAAACCTGTAAATCTTAAATTGTAACCGGTTATGTTTTGCTTTTTTTTTATAACCGTATTATGTAATTATGTAACCGGTTAGTCGGTTACATAATTACATAATTATGTAATTATGTAACCGGTACATAATTATGTAACCGGTTATGTTTTGCTCTTTTTTCTCTGCTTGTAGATGACACCCCTATAACACCAATCATGCAGTAAAACGCAATGGTTGGGCCGTTTTGTCTAGTTTTCCTAATTTCTTGGGGCTGCAGGTCGCGCTCGGTGCTATTTTAACCAAAGGAAATCCATCATCAATTATTGTCGAGCTTTATAAATTTGTATTCAACCAAACCCAGTCTATCATGATACGTTCATGGGATTGATTGACCGTGATTTGAGCTGCGTGGTTGCAATACACCCTTTCGATAATTACGTTATTTGACCTGGGAGCCTCGCTCTCATGAATCGTGAGCCAATCACCTTGCGTAGTTTACTAATGAGAGCGAGGCTCCAAGACCAAAAAGTATGTGTGACGTAATTATCGAAAGGGTGTATTGTGATTTTTGGGATTAAATCCGCCTGGACTCTTACTCAGGAAAGCCGAGTTGAACGAGCGCGGGAATTCTTGAGAGGCGGGGTGTGTGAGGTTTTCACATATTCTGTGGCTTGGTGTTTATAAGACCACAGTTTATAAACTGTGATGAGATTTAGTTATGTACAGTGATAACTGAACTATAAAATATATTAGTGGTAATAATATTAAGGCTGTGTGCGTGGGTGGCGACCATACATATCTTATATCTATGGTGGCGACAGGCGGGGGTGTTGTGCGTGTTGTTGTAGAGACAGAAAATTGATGAAATATATTAATACAGTAATATATATAGTAAGACTAAATAGAGACAATATATATTTGTTGATCACTGACTATAAATTTATAATGAATTCTGATACTTTGTAGCTGCTTGTGCGGCCCAGGGCCCGCGTCAGCCTTTTATATAGTCATTGATTGAAAATTAATTGTTGAGAATATTAATGAGACGAAATAGTTGTTGTGAAGTGGGCGGTCAAGGCACTAAAACGGTATTAAAGTGAATCGGCATCATATTTGTAACATTTACGATTAATTAAAAACTAAAGTTGTGACAAATTTTCTGTGAACTAGATGGCCGAGTCATCACGTGTGTTAGTGACAGGAGCATCTGGGTTTTTGGCAAGTCATGTCATTCATCAGCTTCTTCACGCTGAGGAGTATCATGTTCGTGGCACAGTAAGAGATATTAATAACGAGAAGAAGACCACACCACTACGTGTTCTACATCCTGAAGCTAAGTATCCTCTAGAACTTGTGCAAGCTGATTTACTCGAACCTGATTCATGGATAAGGTTTGTGGCCACAGTTTGTGACTTTGTTTTGAAATTTTACTACGGAATGTTGGTTTATATGTATTGTAGTGAGTGTATTTATTTAGTACTACTGTACTAGTAACGCATTTTGATCTCCAAAGTATATGTTTATTGTCATTCTGCTTCCCAACAAAGGAAAGAGAAAATATGCCGTAGTTTGGTAGATTATTCCCAAAGTCGTAAACTGTACAAAATGTGTTCCTATTCTGTAGTGTACATGCAACAAATGATGACGTCATTATATGGCCAAAACAAATAGCAGAAACTACATGGTTTCATGACTTTTTTCTGCGGGGGGAGGGATCTGTACTCTTCTTCTGAATAAGAGGATTAAGGGGCAAGTATACACAATGAGGGATTAACAGATATACGCAGAATATCTTTGTCCTATATCTGACTTTGAGGAATCGACTGGCCCCGTGGTTGATGATCAGCTGGAACTCTCAAATCATACTGCAAGACACACCTGGACACCCCCACCCCCACTGACTGATCTTTTCATGAGATTGGCATCAAGAGTGGATACAGTAGCAAACTAGTTGTAGTTCAATACTTTAGCGAACCACAATTTTGACTCTGTTTTAACAATTAGGTAGTTGTGGTTGTACTTGTACCAAATCATATTTCTTCTGCCTTTGATTTGATAAATTAATGTAATTTCAATCACAATATTCATGTACTGAATTCAGGTTGTTTTTGTTTGTCCTCCAGTGCTGTAAAAGAATGTGATTATGTCATTCATGTGGCCTCACCATTCCCCAGTGCACCTCCAAAGACTGAGGATGAAGTCATCACTCCAGCAGTTGAAGGAACTAAGAATGTTTTAGAAGCATGTGCTAAATCTGGAACTGTGAAGAGAGTTGTCATGACAAGTTCTGTTGTTGTAATATACAGTATGTTATTACTTAATACTTACTGCTTCTTTAGTATTAGAAATAGTTATTAAGTCAACGCAGGTTAAATGTATGGGTGGTAAATTGGCGTGGTTACTAAAACATGGAACGAGCCACAACAATCCACAACGACCCCATAATGATCCACAACGACCCCATAATGATCCACAACGAGCTACAATAACCCCACGACGGCTCACAATGATCCACAGCAATCCAACAACAACCCGCAAGGAGAGAGACACAATTACAAGGCAACAATGATCCCACAACGATCCAGAACGAGACAAATGATTCCACAACAACCCCAAAACAACCCACGACAAACTGCTGAACTGTATACTAGTTACTAAAACATGGAACAAGCCACGACAACCCACAACAAGCCACGACGACCCACAACGAGTCACTATGACCCACAACCAATCACAACGACCCACAACCAGCCACAACGACCCACAGCCAGCCACAATAATATAACTTTTTGTGGATCGCTGTGGGATCATTGTTTCCTTGTTGTGTCTCCTTGCGGGTTGTTGTGTCTCCTTGCGGGTTGTTGTGGCTCGTTGTGGATTGTTTCATGTTTAAGTAACTACAGGTAAATTGACCCGACTCACACCCCCACAACATTTCAAAATACTGATAAATTGAGAAATAGACCTTCCAGAAAGTATTTGGCTTAAGCTATAACAAGAACCTTGTTTTCATGATTGAAATATTGGTTTTAGAGCCTTGTATCTTGATATTACTCTATAGATATGATTTTGTAAATATGTCACCTGTAACACGATAAAGGGTCAGACTTGTAACAAGATCACCTGTAACAAGATAAAGACATGAAAATGAGGCTCTATAGCCAAGGCTGAATACTTTCCTGAAGGGTGTATTGTATGGCACAATGATGACATTACATTTTATTCCTCTCTCTTGTTAAAGCACAGAAATGACATAATTTTTGATTCTTGACTAATAATAAGAAATAGTTAAAAGTGTTTTTGTTTTGGAAGAAATTTGGGGTCTTAATTAGAGGTGTGTGTCGTATCGGGTTGGCCTCTTTGAATCCGAAGTTTTGTCCACATTCTGAATCCAAATCCAATCCGGTCCGAAGCTGAAAAACGTAATCTGATCTGATCCAATTCGAATTTTTTTTTATTAAATCCAATCCGATGCTAAAAATTGCAATCCGATGCTAAAAATCGCAATCCGATGCTAAAAATCGCAATCCAATCCGTCATCTGATCTAAAAAAGACCTTCTGATCATTTGATCTAAAAAAGCATATGTTACATATATAACTTCTTAATTATCTGTCACCATGCTAAAAACAAAATATGGCAGATTGACAACGGCAGAAACGCGCATTGAAAATGTTTTGCGAATATAAAACCAACAAAGAAATATATTCTTATGAAGAATATAATCCGTATATAAAACATCAGCAGAGATTGGGAAGCGGGAACAGGGTTAAACTTTTCAAACGAAATGTTAGTCAAATTAAGCATGGATGATACAAAGACTATGGAGCTATCGAAATTGTATTAATTATCCATGGTCAGAGAAAAATTTGATGGAGATCTTGTGCTCTTGATCTGAACCATAATTGTGAAGCAAACGGAAAAAGCCGACGTAAAGTGGTAGATTAATTGTCTTTTCGCATGTTTAATGACTAACGTTAAATAACAAAATCTGATACATAGCCAGTAGGAAAAATAAATCCGAATTGATCTAACGGAAAAGGTCTGATTCAACAGAAAAAAATCAAAATCCAATCCGATCCGAACAATTAAAATTTGGTCCGAATCCAATCGGTTCGGATTGGATTTGCACACCAGTCTCAATGGTAAAATCCCCCCTCCCCAGGTTTTCATTTCATGAATTGTATATATGAGCTAGGTCAAGTCAATATATTAAGTCTGAAACTTGAATCCCATTTCGATCCTGCTTTCCTCATTTCACATCCCACAGTCTGTTGAAATTCTGAATACACCCAATTTTCTTCTTTTCATTCTGTTCCCCATTGCATGATGACGTTATAAACATTCAATCTTCGCTCTGTAAAACCTATTGTGGACCCCATGTTTGGCTGTGTTTTTTTGTGGTTTACTTAATGTGCCATTCAATAGTTGTAATTATAAGTAATACATTTGATTGGTTACTTTATATTTAATTTGATCTTCATTATTTTTTATTACAAATAATGATCAGATGGAAACCAAGATAAAGGTTACATGTTAACAGAAAAAGACTGGGCAGTTTTGGAAAGCTGTGCACCATATGAAAAAAGCAAGCTTTTGGCTGAACAATCTGCTTGGGAATTTGTGAAAAACTTGCCAGGTATATTTGTGAAAAACCAGCCAGTATGATTACACATTATCTGAGGCCTGAATTTTTATTTACAGTATCTCTTCTTTCAAATATTTGTCATTTCACATAGGGCCTTTCGTAATTATCTCCTTGGACTTTTTCATTATTAATTTGAAACTGATCATCTTCCCTAAAGTTATAATGAGAATGAGACGAGAATCATTCCATTTACGCATTTACCTTTGTGTTGCTACATAATTACGTCAATGCCAATTGGCACCCTTTAACCGTGGTAGCACTCTCCCCTTGACGTGTAAAGTTGTCTGATATTTAAACAGGATAAAATAATAAAGTAGGGTGCATCACGGTGCATTGCCACTTAAAGGATTAACGTGATCGTTTAATAATGATTAATGATTTTCAAATTGCACCAATGCCATCATTCTTCAGCCTTTGATTTTATATGATGGATGGAAAAAATGAAATTATTTGATTGTGCACAAGTACAGTATTACTATTAGCTCAACAATTGTGTTATGAATTTATTGCAGATGAACAGAAGTTTGAATTGGTTGTCATGAATCCTGGATATTTAATAGGACCGATATTTCATGGTTCAAGTTGTACTAGTATGGAGGTTTGTATAAAATAATATCAAATATATTCATGTGCAATACTTGGATGGTGAACCCTTTTCCCAGAAGCAATGCATAACTATTTCAGTTTCAATGTTATTTCATTCATTCATAGTGATTCATTTGATCAAATTAGTTTACATTCGAGATTATTGGACATCTCGTTCGATGGAACTAATAGTAGATGATTGGGCAACTGGATGTTTTTTGTAGATGGTTAGGCAACTGGATGTTTTTTGTAGATGGTTAGGCAACTGGATGTTTTTTGTAGATGGTTAGGCAACTGGATGTTTTTTGTAGATGGTTAGGCAACTGGATGTTTTTTGTAGATGGTTAGGCAACTGGATGTTTTTTGTAGATGGTTGGGCAACTGGATGTTTTTTGTAGATGGTTAGGCAACTGGATGTTTTTTGTAGATGGTTGGGCAACTGGATGTTTTTTGTAGATGGTTGGGCAACTGGGTGTTTTTTGTAGATGGTTGGGCAACTGGATGTTTTTTGTAGATGGTTAGGCAACTGGATGTTTTTTGTAGATGGTTGGGCAACTGGATGTTTTTTGTAGATGGTTGGGCAACTGGATGTTTTTTGTAGATGGTTGGGCAACTGGATGTTTTTTGTAGATGGTTGGGCAACTGGATGTTTTTTGTAGATGGTTGGGCAACTGGATGTTTTTTGTAGATGGTTGGGCAACTGGATGTTTTTTGTAGATGGTTGGGCAACTGGATGTTTTTTGTAGATGGTTGGGCAACTGGATGTTTTTTGTAGATGGTTAGGCAACTGGATGTTTTTTGTAGATGGTTGGGCAACTGGATGTTTTTTGTAGATGGTTGGGCAACTGGATGTTTTTTGTAGATGGTTGGGCAACTGGATGTTTTTTGTAGATGGTTAGGCAACTGGATGATTTTTGTAGATGGTTAGGCAACTGGATGTTTTTTGTAGATGGTTGGGCAACTGGGTGTTTTTTGTAGATGGTTGGGCAACTGGATGTTTTTTGTAGATGGTTAGGCAACTGGATGTTTTTTGTAGATGGTTGGGCAACTGGAT